TCTGATGCAGTAGGTGGTGAAAGGAAGGCTGAGCAAGAAGAGCACGGTGCAATAAGGAGCCATTTGTAGTATTTTGGATGGGTGAGGCTGTGGACATTGGTGGCATGGGTGCAAGGGACAGCATGGAGTAGGGTGTGAAAAAGAAAGCACTGAAAGGCAAGAAAGAAGGACTGGAAAAGGAGATGGAAGGGTAGCAAAGACATACTTCATTCAGTGCTACCTCTCCTTCCTTTAGTTCTGTATGGATTCGGGAGGTTTAAGAACAGAATTTTGGCAAAACATACTGCCCTAGAAGTTAAGAAGATCTACCACTGGCTCTGTGACCTTGGGAGAGTCATTTAACCTCTGTGAGCCTCAGTGTCCTTATCCATAGTGATAACCACTGACTGGGGGTGATGCATTGCGAAAGGTTCTTTACACATACTGTAATAAGCGCAGCAGCTCTGCATGGGCATTACATGTTTACAGATGAGAAAATTTAGATTCAGAGAGGGGAGTAATTTGCCCAAGATTATGTTGCAGATACTGGCAGAGCTTGGATTTGAACCCAAGTGAGCCTGACTTCTGGGCCAAGGGGCATTTCCTTGGGTCCACAATAGCCTACCACGCAAAAGGCAAAGCCAGTGACCTTCATGATCCCTCATGCTCTAACACTTAGGGCTGTGTTTATGCTGAATACCTGACTCCTAATTAGGTCAGCTACTGTTTCTGAATACTGTGTATATCTTCTGAACAGTTCTAGCCAGCTGAGGTCCTGATGTTTGTTCTGTACAAAGCTCAACACCTCGTGGACCCTCAACAAAAATTTAAAAATGAAGGTCAGACAAATGGCATCTCTGGTCTCTGGGTAATAATGAAGACTCCCTCTCTGAGGTCCACTCCATTCATATTAGTAATCTAAACTGTCACTTAGAGCCTTAATCTTCAGGAAGAATTTACTGTTTTTCACACCATGCAGTTGCGTAGGCTAATTACTAATGGATGTCTTTTGGTGTTTGAGAAAGTAAACATTGGCTTATAGTTTCAAAAGTGTTTTAGCCTTTCTAGGCAAAGGTATGATTAGTATTCCCTAAAGATGTTATCCATGTTGGATTATCCCAAATACTTGACCATTTGCCCCTAGGAGATCTTGCTTATATCCAATGTAAGGATCCAGTTTAATCCTACACCCACTGCTTTCCACATGTATGAATAGAATATTTTTCATAAAGACATGCAACTTAGAAATATATTCCTTTTTTCTGGAATTTTTCTTTGTGGGTAGTTATTTCTAAATTTAAGAATGCAATACTAGGCCTTTCTTTTTTGCTTCACATCTATGACTTACTAACATACATAATCATCATCCTGCCTTCCTGTTTTTTGTTTTAGATTGAGAATTTTCCCTAAATAACTGCTCCAGAAACTCTCAAAGTTACGTAATTAGTGATTACACTTTGCAAATGAAGAAAAGCATTTCCCAGCCAGTTGACTTAGTTAGTTAGAGCAGGATGCCAATAATTGGGCCACAGCCACAGGTGTGGGCCAAGTAGTGTGTGCAGCGATCTCACAAAGGTAAAGGTATGGCTGTAGTCCCAGGAAGGACCAGGTAAGGAAGCAGATGCCTCAACAGAGATCCATCCCCACTAGAAGGACAAAAATTTGCTATTGAGTCAGTAATATCACATTAAAAGTACAGCACATCCTAAACAAACAGGGAGAGAAGGAAAGAGAGGGAGGAAGGGAAAGAGAAAGAAAAGAAAGGAAGGAAGGGGGTGGGGAGAGGAAGGGAAAAGAAAGGAAAAAAGAAAAGAAAAGAGAGAAAGAAAGAAAACCAACAAATAATAGTAGACAAGTTCACGGCGATAAATAATAAAGGAAGCATGACAGAAGGAGCAGAACTTGAAGCATGGTGTGACCTTTAATCAGGGCTCTTATTCCTCGCAGGCTGCGAAGCAGCTTTGTCTTTACCTGCTCAATGGATCTCACAATGCTGATGCACTGCTTTAATTTGGGAAGCCTTTCTCTTGAGAGGCATGTCTTTTCTTGCTCTAAGTCTAAAGTGCTCCCAAGTGTGGCATTCTCTGTGACAGATGTACTACAGTTATGCTTTAGCTGACTCCAAACCCATAGCTTCCCAGTGCCTGAGTGGTCTATTTGATGTCCAAAAGCATGTTTCCTTCAAGAGCAGGTCTCTGCCGGAATATCATCCAAGAAAGTAGGAAGGTGTAATCCCTTTGTTCTAAAACAGCCACTGATATATTCTGCAACCCCAACCAACCTGGGGCTTGTCTTTCAGAAGGTCTAAAATGCATATGCTGGTGTACAAATTGTCCTAGAGAGACAGAAGAATCCTCTCCTTTTTGAACTTCTCCTAAGTTTGTTCCATCTTCATAGATCACCCCAATTTCACATAACTCTCTGTAAATATAAGGAATTTCAAAAATATTGGCACATCACTAAGCAGAAAAGATTCTCTGGCAAATCTCCCATCCATAGATTTGCTTCTTACAGGAGTCTCAGAGCCTTGGTTGACAGTATCAAACATGTGACTGGCAGGACCAGCCAGAGCCACACATGTCCATCTGTGAGTATTTTGTGTGCCTGTTTCTCACTGATGAAGCACTGTCATTCTTTTCCGAATGCTAACCTTCCTACCATCAGAACCCATTCCTGAAAAGAAGCAGAAACATGGCCATAGGCCATTTCTGTTGGAACACGTGCCACTTGTCTTCTCCCCAGAGTCATATCTCCTGCCAGCACCAATGTCTGCTAAAGGAGGCATGACTTCTCTAACTCTCTCTCTTGCCTATCCAAGAAGAAGGAATTTCTTTGCATTTACCCAACAGCTTGCATTCTCTTCTGGTGCCTTGATTAGATCAAAAGGGCCAGAATCTTGGCAAGAGGACTTTTTATATCATTTTTATGCTTTATAACAACTCTTTAGTTAAAAGTGTATAAAAGTTCACTCCTGTTTAAAGCCTGATTCTAAAGTTAAAGGAAATTCCCCCTTTTGGAATTAACACTTGCTTTTCAGCATTTTTACTTCAAATAACAGTCTAATGAATTATTCCACTGCCCAGAACCTGGGAAAAGAAAAAGAATTTGAAGGGTTTTAGAAAATTTCTTGTGTTTTCTTATTGTGTTTTTATTGTAAATATATCTCTTGGCCTGTTTTTCTCTTAGATAACTTTCTGTCTTGAATTTGTTAATTACTGTCATTAACATTTATTTAGTAAAGACAAAGCAGGAACAATGTAACGTAGTAATAACACAGTGCTGTGGCATAAGTGTTACTGATAAATTAACTGGGTTTTTTGGGTTTTTTTTGAGTTTTGTGAAAACTCTCCAAAATACAGACAGCAATATAACCCTTGTTAAAAATGGGCTTATACATCTGAAAACATTGACGTATTAAAGACAATGTATTCCTTAAGTCCCTAAGCAAGAAGAAACAATCATTACAGTAAGTTAATACCTGGATTACTCAAGGCCTGAAACATCTGTGCCCTCCCCCTCCCCATCCCCTCCACCTCCCTCCTGCTCCCAGGCCCCTAAGAACATTTAGACCACAGGGCAGAGCATCAGTGTTTTTAGTGCAACAGGTTTCAATAACTGAAATGTAGTGTTTACAGAGTGGAAACAGATGCAACAATATTTCCTTTTTTTTTAAAGTGGGGTGACATTGTGAATTGCTGTTGTCATCCAAAACCTGTTCTGATTTGATTTTGAAAACAGCATTTATTCTGGGTTTCTTTTAACATAGAAAAGTATAAAGAAGAAAAATTGTTCATTGTCCTGTTCTTAGAGAACCTATCTTGACATTTATAAATAAAAGTA